AACCCACCTACCCACCTACCCACCTACACACCAGCCCACCGACCCACCAAACCATCCACCCACCAGTCCAGTCCATACGTACTACCATACATTCAACTCACCATCCTTTCAACCCAGCGTCAGTAGATTGTAACAATTTTGTTTTTTCATTTTTTTAGCTGAAGACTTTCACTTGTCAGAAAAACGTTCAGAACACCTTAATTGTATTCTACAGAAACATTTACCATTGATCGTTAGAGTGGTAGGATATAATAATCAATATTACTAGTGATGATTACTTGATCAGATGACGCATTGGTATACAAAGTATTACGTAACACTGTTGATTGATTAATTCATTTTACAGTTTATTGGATAATTAAGAATGTCAAAATTATATGATTGGATGATTCACAAAGAAGACTCATGACGTGGCTGTTTATAATTGGGCGATAAGATAAACATCGTCAGACCTAATGACATGATTGGTTGATTCACAAAGAAGACTCATCACATGTTTGTTCAGGATTGGGCGATAAGAAAATGTTTATTAGACGTAGTACCTAATGATCTGTTACCCATTTGATTAGCTTTTGTTTCATCATCCAGGTACCTCCTATTACTCCAAGACAATTGAAAGACGAACGAGAAGAAATGTGTTTGAAATGTTAGTAAGAACCAGAGCGATCTTTAATAATCTCAATAACCCATACCTCCTTTGACCACAATTTTCCTGCTAAAGTGCTTGATGTCAATAGTATATCATTTTTTGTCCCCTGTAACCTGGTAATTTTGGTTCGTAATAGATCCCATTCTCGATCATAAACAAGTGTCAGACGTACTCAGCACGTGTCCTTACGATCCCACCAGAAGTCTGCACATTGCTTGGTATCAGGTAAAAAGCGTTCTGATCATACCAAGTCCATTTAGAAGAACTTGCATTGGCTATCATTTGAGTCTAGAGTAAAGTTCAAGATCTTACTCACTTATTATTCATTTCTCCATGGACGTGCTAAGCAGCACTGGCTTCACTCATAAAAAAGCACCAACCATCATTTTTGGTCTTCATCAATAAACGAAGAGCTGTGTGTACAAATCCAAATCAAATCTCCTGCTGTTTTTTGATTGGTTAATACTACTATAAAAAGCAGCCACGACCGATGCTTCTTTCGGTGACGTGCAGAGGATATTACGGATGTTATTGGTTATTTGATTCAGCTTTGCATTTGTATTGACACATTAGCTTCGCTTAAGTGACTTCAAAGTAAAAGAATATTTGTCTGCAATAACAGCTGTTCTTGTATCCGCTTAGAGCTCTTTGTTTCTTGGGGACAAAAAGAACGCGCGGGTTCCGGGGAACCAGAATGGACACCAATGTAGCCGTACGCTTCTTTTTCTTAGTACTGAACATCAACAACATCTTAGGAGCCAAGATATAGTTGCAACGTCTTAGGAGCGTATAGACCCTTTGCACTGAGTCCCGAGAGGAATTGTTGTGGGGGACAAAAGAATGTTGTTTTTTTTGCATAAGAAAAGGCAGCCTATTGCTTCGTTCCCCAGAACATTTCCTCTAGGAAATGAATATAAGGGGTCTATAAGAATACCAGACTTTCTAAAATGTGAGGGCTTAGCCTCGATTCAAGGAGCGTGCTTGTTTTGTTATTCTTTAGTATTTCTGCTTTGGTTTAACGACCTCAGAAGTGAGGCTAAACCCGTGCATTCTGGATATGATGGTATTTAAAAGAGTTTTCAATATAGTTGCATTCCCTTTGTAGGTCAAGCTTTCAGAGGTTTACCCAGACGATAAAACTTCGATATATAGAAAAGACGGAAACACAATTATCAAAACGACGGTTAGTTCGTACTCATGTTAACGTCCAAATACGTTGGGTTTTTACCCCCAGCGAACTGTATTAAAGTTATTTGTGTTTTTAAGATGAATTATACATTTTGCTTCACGGATGAAAAAGTTTGATAGCCTTCTTCGTGCATGTCAAGCGCTTTATTCATGAGTGTTTGTCTGAACTGTTGACTTTTAGGAAATCAAAGAGGTTGTCAAAGAATACATGGACAAGTTAAAGAAAGTTAAAGGGTATGAAAATATACCGGTCTGTATTAGTTACAATCAGCATCTGGAGGGTCGATGGTAAATATCTAATAGAAGATACATAATAAACACTACCACCGCCACCGCCTGCACCGCCACCGCC